CTAATTGTAAGGAAAACCAAAATTTCACTACAAACAATGGTTGGAGTTGCAAGCAAGCGGCAGATATTCGACAAGCTGAAGACCTCATTTCCCATAAACCCCCTTGCCGGCTCCTGGGCCAATAACACGAGCCCCTTGGAGACAGTGGCCGGGGCTCCATGGCCATGCTAATCGCAAGCATCTAGCAGAGATACCAAATGGGCCGGGGGGAGGCAGCGGAGAAATCAAAGGGGCCACGTGTGCTTTAAAATGATTGGACTAATTAAAATCGGTCAAAGCTGCGTGTTAACATCTGTTTGGTCAGTGGCAGCACAGATGCTAATTAGAAACTAATAAGTTGGCTGTGCTGGTGACATGCAGTACAGTTTTAGTCATTTTATTTTTAAAATTTTTTTTAAAAGTGACCGCTGAGTGTACCTGCGACCAGACAGCAATTTACCACGTGACCCGATGGGTCCCCAGTACAGCAGGAATACAGAGAGCCCAGTTGAGCATAGAGTCAATTTTGGCCCCCATGGTCCTTGCAGTGCTCGACTGTACCACAATGATGAGGTCTAAGGGAGAAAATTCAGGGAAGATGATAATCTGCTGTACGCTACCTCAGGTGATAGTGACGCGTGTTGGGCATGTGCATTGGTGCCATGAATGGTTTAGCAAATGCCTGACTGCGCAGGGTATTGCACAGGAGAGTGCCCAGCACAGCCCATCTGTCGCATTAGTAGGTGACATACTGCTAAAAATAAGCGGCTGCTGCTCGAGGGAGACGGCGGGAAGATGGCGGGAAGATGGCGGGAAGATGGGGGAAGATGGGGGAAGATGGCGGGAAGATGGCGGGAAGATGGCGGGAAGATGGCGGGAAGATGGCAGGAAGATGGCGGCTGTGGTGCAACACCTGGACACCTGGCATACAAAACCGCTCCCTCATTCTGATACCTCACAGGCCTGTGGGGCTTGGTCACACCGGTTCCTATCAGCATCAGCGGCCCAAACAGGATCTCCCCCCCGGGTCTAATCTTCTAAAGTTCTAAAGGGTCACATTGAAACCACAGTCAAAGTGCAGTTTTTCACATGGGCATGTGACACACAATGTTCACTAACAGTCTGGAGGGGGCTGATGTGTCGGAGGGCCAGTCGGAGCGCCCAGACAGGACTGCATAACCAACCAGTCAGGGGGTGGGACACAGGGGTCTTCTCAAAACGCAGAGAAAAATACGGTGAGAAACAGTGACGAAGTAGGCAGACAGGGTCCTGCACGTCCTAAAGGACACATCCCTGTCTTTATAGTCAATCCACCATGACAGCCAGGGAAATCCACTCCCGTCAATAAAAACCATCAGATCATGCTGCTGACTCTTGCTCTACATTGCGTCACTGAGCCTTGTGCAATTTCACACATTTTGTAACGGACTGACTCGCCGCCCTCCTTTGGTCCGAAACTGGAGTTAATTACTCGGTGTATAAAATCATTTAAAGGTAAGGATGAGTCAGAAATCTCACACACACACACAGACAGACAGACACACACTTGTCTCTCTGTCATCTCTCTTTCGCAAGACACAGAGTCACGGTCACTTCTGCATGCGCCACACGCTAAACCTTGCTGAATCGATAAAGGCGTGGTTTCCGTTAAGCAGTGTCACTGCCACAGAAAGGTGACGGGCGAGGCCCGGATGCCTTCCTGCATGTCGGGCTCCGATTGGCTGCAAAAAACACTGACCGACAGATTTGCAGCGTGATGTCAGTATCCGTCCGAGAAGGAACATGACCAACAACACGAAGCCCTAACACATCAGTAAAGATCACCAACTCACATCAACCCCCCCCCTTCACTGACCTCGAAACATTACAGGGGTGTCACCCTCCTCTCACCCTCACTGTAACAGTTCTGAATTACCCCCCCCCCACATAAAAGATCCTGTCAATCTACCTCCCCTCAGATCCCCCGGCATCCCACATGCCCAGTTCCCACCCAAATTGCATCTTGTTCTTTGCTGTCTGTAGACAGTCAGGGAACAAATCCAATCAGCACATTAAAGGGGAAAAATGGCTCTTCTGTTCCATTTCAGAGGCGCCCTGTCGATGCGCTCCAGCTGCCCGGGCAACGTTGGCGAGGCACCTAACGAGGGCCATCACTAATGAAGGCATCCTCATGAGATGCCGCTCTTCCGACAGACCGCTCAGAGACCGCCAGACTGCCATCTGGTCTGTGTAACGTTGAGGGTGCATTTCGGGCAGGAAGCGGACAGCCTTGACCCAACAGAGAGGGCCGTGTTAACTCTTAACTCTCTAAAGCCCTTGGGCTCAACTGTATTCACATTTCCTGTAAAATGCCGGGGGGGGGGGGGAATGACACCAGAAGATTTTCCCAGACTCCTCTGTTCTCCTGCCTCAAACATCCATACACCCCCAACTGAACTTAACCAAATGTTACCAAATGTAAACAAATTGTTTTTGTGGCAACAACATGTGGCCTGGATGCCATTCCCATCCCATAACCACCCAGTGCAAGAGTTCCAGTGTGTACAGTAGGGAGACCATTGAAGTGGAACCATAAGGCTCCGCGGCAGCCATGCTGGTGTGCATTAGCACACGGCACACACATACACACGTACATATGGGGCTAGGAGAGACAAGGCTGGGCCTGCATGCCGCTCCTGCGACCTGCTGACAGGAAACCAGCCCCAAGCACCACTGGGCCCCAGCTACCACACTTCCTGCTTCCCCTGTTTAGCGCTGCAGGAAGCGTGCCTCAAATTATAAGTGAGTTAGCAAGGAGCCGGTCAAAGATCACACCAACAACAGAGCAGAGGCGTCCTGGAAGACCCCTGGTGGCCGCTGGCGGAATCGCCATGCTTATGCGTGGCCGATGCCCTAACTCAGGGGTGTCCAAACCCAGTCCTGGGGGGCCGGAGCCCAGTGTAGCTTAGTTCTTTCCCTGTTCCACCATAAATGATTCAGCTCAAGATCTGTGTGGTAGTTAGCACAAGGAGTTGAATCAGGTGTGTTAAAGGAGAGGAAACCCAAAAATGTGCAGGGCTCTGGCCAGCTGCTGGGTAAGACAGAAACATATTTATTTTCATTCCAGCTGAAATGTAATACATTGTTACTGGTGTGTATGTGGGGGGTGGGGGAGGGGTAGGGGGTGGGACTGCATTCCTGCATCTGGAAGTGTGCAGCGGGGCACACGTGCTCCCGAACATTTTTACTCGTCTTCCCCTCTGTATTTCCCCCCCTTTTTTCCCTCAGCGTGAAGGAATTCCACAGCCCAGTTGTCGACTTGTCTGCCCCCCCCCCCACCAACTCCCCCCGCACAAAGGATTCAGTCAAGAGAAGGTACGGAAGACAGATGGACACCTATAGACACACAGACACATGCAAAGAGGCAGTAAATACACACCCTGCACAAACACACACATTAGGGCCAATACTGGGAATGCACGCAAGCACGCGCACACACACACACACACACACACACACAAGGAAAGACATCGAGTTGGGGGGGGGGCAAGGGGGTGAATAGTAAATTGCACCTGGCTTCAGGGTCATTCTGCGACACAATCAGCTATGAATCAGCTCATGTCACGTTGCCACAGGGATCAGAAGCAAATGACAATTTGTTCACTTTCGGACCATCATCTCATAATTGAGCTCCCCCTTTCCTTTACCCTGGAACCTGCAAGTGGTTCCAAGCCATCAAACCATATTTTAAGGAAACCAGCTGGCTTCCTAGTTCCTGCTAACCTAGTTAACCTAGATCCTGGTCCAACAACAGGGTTGTGGGTTTACGTCATTTGTTTATTTTTTTTGTAGAAAAAAAGGTGTTCCTGGTAATTTGTGCTTCTTAGTGAGGAGCCCATTCTTCGGTTTAGTTAGACGCCTGAGATAATTGAAATGGAAATCCCCCATCTAAATAAGTCAAGTGTGGCTCTACAGGCAGCGTACGGGGGGAGGTCACCAAAGCACACCCTTTCCTGTCCGTCCGTCGGTCATCCCTTCACATAAACAGCGGCCAACTGTGTTAAAACCGTGCAGGCAATCCCTAACCACTGATTTGCGGATTGCTCACAAGGTTGACGTACTTTCCACATTATTAATGCATGTCCTTAGTTCATTCAGCCTGTACTATGTACTCATCTCATTGCAAACGGCGAAAGCTCGGTCTTTTCAAAGGGCGAGCCCTGGAGCTAATTAGTTCATTAATAACCAATATTTCAGACAGCTGACTTTTAACACTCGGCATATCCGGGGATCGATCGCGCTGTGACGCTGTCAAACCCAGGTGTCATTCACTGCTGAGTGGAAAAAATAAACTCGTATGCAAAACACCCCAAGCAAAAAGCTGCACCTCCAGGAAATCGGGCTGCACTTTGCCTACGCCCCTAGCGCCCCTTCCTCCCAGCGATCCACAGCAGGACCAACAGGTCCATAAATCTCCCCCTAACATCAGATCCATGCTGCGCTTGCAACTTGCCAGACCTCATCTATGATTTCGCGTGTGGACTCAGCCTTGCGCTTCGATCGCCGTCCACATAAATCATTTGTCGTTTTATATATCACCCGAAAAATCACAGGGTTTTGTGTCGCAGAATAACCCTCGATGACAGCCACGGATATTTTGGGTTAAATTAAAAAGAAAAAAGCCAGGGAGCAACATCAAGCAAAACATTTCAAGAATTTGTCACGTTACGTCGCCATGCAGTCGCGATTTCTGCCTTTTACAAATAAGCATTTCGCTCCGGCGATTTAAAACAATCAAAGTCTGACGTGCCAAAAAGTTTCGGCGACCCAGGGGCGGGTGATATGGGGTCCCCGAACACCGAGAGACTTTGCTTTCAGCAACGATGTTTCGTGTGGATTCAATAAAAACACCCCTGACACGTGTATACGCCGAAAGAGCAGACGGCGCGCTCCGATCGCCAGCCTTCAGCCTTTAATCAGGTTCGATAGATTGCCTTGCCGTCTATTAATAGCAGCACGGAGGATCGGACGGCTTCACTTACCCAAACTGCCGGCGAAACCGTCCATTTCCGTCAGAAATGCCCGAGCGGACTCGAAAAGATAATCCTATACTTTTTTCCTTCTTTCTGGCCGCCGCTCTTGCTTTTGTTGCGCTCCTTTCAGCGATCGCGGAGGAGAAAGGGAAAAGCGCTGGGTCTGGGGGTGGGGGTAGGTGGGGGGGACAAGGACAGGGCTTGGGACGTGTCCGGCTGCGGGGGTCGGCCGGTTGGGTCGTGCCGCGGGGACTCCGCCGAATCGCAGTGACAGTCAGTCGGGGCTGCGCAGCTCCGCGTCGGGGCCGCTCGCTCGCTCACGGTCGCACTCTCTCTCTCGGTCTCTCACGGCTCCAAGGACGCGCACCTCCGCCGAGGGAGGGGATTTTTTTGTAGGGAGAGCGCGCTTTCGCGTTTCCGACTCCGCCCGCTTTGGCACGACTAGTTTCCCGCTGATCCGGGATCTGACTGGCTGAAAGCGTGCGAGTGCTGCCGTCGACTTTCTGCTTCGACCCAAAGATGCGCGTTTTTGCCGCCAATGTGGTAGTCCCGGTCTGAGTCATCGTTAATAAATTAATGCAAACTGCGCTTAAGGCTCCCAGCGAGAAGTAGGCCTATGTTTTGCGTCTACAGACGAGCTATTATTTGTGGGTCACGGAAGGGATCAAAGCTACGGGGTGTTTTTTAAAGCAAAATATAGTTATATTTCATCATACGGAACAGGGAATAATCCCAAAACAGGCACACGTTTTCGAAATATCAAGGAGGAAATCTGAATACGAATAGAGACTCGTTGACCCCTGTGAAATCACTCGGTCAAATCCAATGGAAACTAGACCGACGAGCCCAGTAAATTACTGGAAATGTTCCTGTACTCGGTCTGTGTTTTAACCTCTGCTCAAAAATTACAAATCATTTGAAGAAAAAAAAAACTAAGCCAAAACGATATACGATTTTATAAGCACGCCGTGAATTACCCCAACGGCATATTAACGGCGCATTTGCGGGAATCCTTTTGGGAAGCTGGTGGTTCACTGACAGCTCTCACCCCGACCATCCCTCCCAGTTATTTCAATGTATGTGACTTTTACGACCCACTTAACGGGAATTAAGGTCATCTGGTGAAATTTCGGTCCGTGGCCACCAAAGCATTTTTCCCCACTTCAGCTCCCCCTGCGGAGAGACCTTTGCGCTGAACAGCTTGCGGCTGCATTTGCATCTTCACAGGCGACGGGCGGCCGTGCGGACGGGCACTGTGACCGGCATCTGCATGAGCGAAGCTGGCCTGTACAGCAGAGGCCTGTTCCTAAGGCTGACACAGCGGAAAAAGTCTTCTCGTTTTTTTTAAAAAAAAGAATGGGATTAAATTAAGAGATTGGCGGGGTACGGATGAGATGGGACACGGGTCAGTGAAAGAAATGGTACAGTGTTACCAGCAGAGAACACCGTGACCCCGAGTGCTTCACCAATTCATGATTTCAGCACACCCCCCCCTTCCCCGTAATAAAAAAACCATGCAGCAATTTCTTGTTCAAATCTATTGAGGGATGGAAGGGGGAACGACAGAGGACAAGTGAAATCTTTCATTCCTCCCTTCCCCCCTTGCCCAAGAGAACCGACACAGTGGGACGGCTTGTGGTTTTGGCAGCAGACTAATGATTTTTCTACAAGTCAGCGAGGAGTGAGTCACCGCGAGTTTGGGATATCCGTGTCCCACATACCCCGCTGAAGTTGCAGTGTCGGGCAAAATTGGCATATACGCCGAATTAGAATAAGGCTCCTTGAGACTCCTTATTCTCCTTATTCCTTATTCTCGTAATTCTTGTTTTCAAGTCTTGCCCTTACAGATGTAGTATGGGGTGAGAGATCTACATGGAGTTTCGAAGTGTGACGGCAGAAGCTGTCAAAAAATATGTGTAATGAATGAAATATACACAAGAGGGCGATAACACTTATTCATAAACAATGAACTCATAAGAGTTATTTCGAATAAAAAAATATGATTTTAGGAAATAAGATTTTTAGGTTGTTAGAATTTTAGAGATAGCGGTTATAATTATGTCATGTTGTACGTTATTTTTAAAGATCAGTATTGTCGTTACTGAAGTATTGCGTTGTTCCAAGAGCAATGGCTCCCTCTAGTGATTACTTGTTGAAAATGGTTTATTAAACCATACAATTTGACTTTTCAGTTAAAGATTATTTTGATTATTTCAAAATGAAAATCTAATTAGCTTTTATGTCTACAACTTTTAAAATGTGCAATTTATCATATTTGTACAGCTAATGAATTCAAAGCTGGAATTCAGGCCATCTGACATACTGTACCAGGCAAATCTTAGCATGCGGACAGGGCCGTAGTCAGCTATGAGGTCACCCAGGTCCGGACAGGGTCGTAGTCAGCTATGAGGTCACCCAGGTCCGGACAGGGTCGTAATCAGCTATAAGGTCACCCAGGTACGGACCTCGATCATTTTAGAGAGCAAAAAAAAAAATTTACAGCTAAATATTCACCTGAATAAAAAAATACGTGAACTAATATTTCACATAACTAATTACTTTACAATAATAAACAGCTTATGAAGGGGACGGGTATCAATAATGCGATTGACAAAACCCACTCCTCACCCCTAGGTCCCAGACCTCACAATTTCAAACCCTATCTACAACCCTGCTTGGGACCCCCCCCCGATCAGCAAAAGATATTCTGGATGACCCCAAAGTCCAGGGGCAATTTTTAATCCCAGTACAGCCTTGCTTCAATCCAAATTAAATGTTATGTTACACTGCAGAAACTAAACAAATCTTAAAATCTCTAGGTTGTAAGGCCAGAAAAACAACATCCATTAATAATGAAATCAGCCAAATTGCATCATGGGTAAGAACTAAGGTACCAGATCCAACATTCACTAGATTCAAAAGTCTCCCACTTTTAAAATTCCACTTTAATCTTCCTGTGAAATGCTTACTGTAAAACAAGATGAACGCTCCTTATTTCTGTAGCCCGTGAACTAATGTCAGACGTGAAGATGCCTCAGGCGTCAATGAAAATGCCTGGATGTCTTTGTAATGCTCTCTGAAGAGCCTTGACAAACTTTCCCTGGGATTAACTGAAGTGTGTTTCTATTGCTGGCTTTGGAGGAGACAGAATGAAGTTTTAGATTTGGATTATAGGCCCACATATTCTCATGGGATTCAGTTATATTATTCTCGATTTGTACTTTGGAGATTAAGGCGAAATAGTACAGAGATATTTGACTTTTCTTTCCATTTTTCAATGAAAAGTGAGACATTTGCAATAGGCTTCTGAGAAATCAACCGTGGAAATCCCAAAAAGGTTCAGTTACACCAAAAAAATAGATTTCTGAAGGGTCTTGAAAAAGTCCTACTTTACCTCAGCGCTCAGCTTCTCACTACATACTGAAAGGAGATTACTACATACTCTCAGCTATTTATTCCTGATCCTCAGTGGTTAAATATTTAACATGCCATTTATTCATCAAATAGCAGTTTACAAGAAATAATTAGTGTAACAGAGGTACTTTATCACGTAAAAAAATGAGTTATCCAGTATTTCTCTCAATAAAAAAAATACAGCTCTGGGAAATATAGGCTAATACTATTTTGGGTTAGCTGCACACCCTTGTCCCCCCGACGCACACACACCCCTGTAATCATTTCTTTGTGGGGACCGTCCACTCATTTCTATGGGCAAAACCCTTACCCCAACGATGACAACCTTATCCCCTACCCAGCCCGATCTTTAACCATAAATAACCAAACAAAATACAAGCCTTTTAGCATTTTTAGTTTTTTGATTGCAGTCAAAAAAATGTATAGAATTGAGTTTCCCCTTGTGAGGACTGAAAAAATGGTATTTATCACATTGTGGGGACATTTGGTGTGCATGCGTGTGTGTGTGTGTGGATGCAGTGATGTATTTATGGATTTATGATTTACTTCCTCACATATCACACAGTTCCTCTGTTGTTCACGCTCTGAATGTTCATAGTATCATGTTCTTTCTTTTAATCAATTTTATACGCGATAAGGAGAAAGACAGCAGGCAGAAAGGATGTGTAAACGGCACACAACCGGCCCTTGTTTTGGAATCGCATATGAACTAGCAACAATGGAGGTGAGCGGGATGGAAACGGCCGAGCCATCTCTCAGTGTCCCTGGGTAAGCAGCTTTCTGTGAAGGCACCTTTCGCTTTCTGATGGGAATACATCACTCTTCCATTGAAGCGACGGTTTGTCCTGTGAGCTGTCAGTTAGCTACACAGTTTGTCGGTAATTATGGTGAACATTATAATGTTTAAAATAAACAAGTGCAAGCACCTTTAAATATTTATTTTTAGTATCTCATTCTGTTTGTCAGGATATTTCGTTTGTCTGTGTACTGTGTATTTAAAAAAAAATCTGTTTGCATTACGTTTACTTTGTCTGCACAATGGGTACTGTTTTGTACCCTGTCTATTTGCCAGTATATATAGGCCGATGTTTATCTGTGGACTATGTTCTTGCTGCTGTATGCATCAGAATTCACCTTGTGATCAATAAAGTTAATCATAATCTTAATAATACCACAACAGCATGAAAATAATTCATAAAATAGACTTATTTAAAAACACTTATTTCCTGGCCAGAAATAATTCCTTAGTTCTTGCATTCAGTCAACATACTATTAATAGTTAGTGTTTTCTCTTTCATTGGTAATTTGTTTAGGCTTAACTGTCGTACAGGATTTCAGAGCCCTGCCGTTTCGCCATCTGAGTAGTACAAACGCCTGCGTTCCCAGAATTTAAACTCGCTGAATCGTGAAAGCCGCTCTATTACCTGCGTTACAAAACACATTGTATTCGGCTCACAAAAACAGGGGGGACAGGATGAAATATTCATTTGGCCTGTGTATCAAATTCCTTTGGTAAAGAATAGAGAGAAGACGGTGGCGGCTTAAACAGGAAATCAGGCTTTTCAACAATGGCTTCAAATGTGGGAAAAAGAAAGAACATTTTTTTTACCCCCTATTCTCCGTATACGCTACTCAAGATAGCCAATTACCGTAAGGAACCTTATCCAGAATAACTGATGGAGCTCTCTATTGTTTAGGTGGAATTGTGCACAAGTAAGGGTTGTGCCATAATCAGCAAAGACAAACAAAGGTTAATCTAATCCTACCTCTTGCTGGTATGTCGGGGGTCATAGTGGTGCCACCCCCCTTTGTGAAGATGGGGGCGGCCTTTCCCTGCTGCGGGCCGACTCCTGGTTTTGTGCATCCCGAATCTGAACCTATTTATCAGTGAGCAAAACAATGCGAATTACAGTAACATAAAGATACATCAGTCATCAAAACAGCACTTT